TTAATTTATCAATATCACTTATAAATTACATCCATATGTTAAACAATTAGTAATATTAGTTGTTAATTTGATAACATCAGTTGTAAATTATAAAATTTGTCAATAATTTACAATTGATGCTGAAAAATTAACAAGTAATGTTAATAATTTAACAAATGATGTTGTTGTTTATGATTGAATAATTGATATGAAATCTTATATAATTATTAGCATGTCAACTAATATAATTTGTAACTCATATTTGAAAAATAATAAGTGGAGTAGAAAAATTAATAACTGGTGATTCTACATAACAAATAAAGGGTATTTTAGTCTTTTTATTATTGATTTTTTTTTTTTACTTTTATGCCTCAGATTGAATTAAAATTTTTTTAAAAAAATTTAAACCTACCTTAAATTAAGTATCTACTATGATTCGTAACTGAAATTCCTTGTTGATTCTGTTTTATGATGTGGACGTGGCCTTCAAGTATTTTTAAGACAGACTTTTCTTTTTCCCTTGTTTTGTTTATCATTTTTAAATTTATATTTTATTTTTTTAAGGGTTAAGTATCAATTTTGTCTTTAAATTATATGCACAAGTTCATAAATATTTTTAAATTTAATTATAAATTAGTTTTATTTTTTACGTTAAAAGATCCCTTCCCTCCTACCTCGACGTTACTTCCGTTAACTTTAGTGTGTGGGCCCCACATTTTTAATATTTTTTATAATAAAACATTAAATGTGGGCCCCACATCCTCTTTCAGCCCCCCCCTCTCGTTCCTGCATGCATAAGGCCGATTCTATTAAAGTAGTTCGGTTCAAGTTCATCATGTTTGTTTAGGCCTGAAGCAAATAGAGTCAATATGCTAGAAGCAAATTTATTCACCCAATAAGCCAAAAGAAATATTAGCCCAAAACATTTCTAGAAGTTGATTTCATTTTCTCTCTTGAATACATGACCATAATGTTACTAAGAACGAAATGGAGAAGGAGGAGGCAGCTCATTAGGATAGATGTTGATGATAGTGAGAGGTCCAACTCTAAATGATTCTTACCTCGATCCTCTTCCTTGATCCGTGTAAGCCATGGCGGATCTTCCTTATTGGAGAACCTCAAGTTCACATGATAGGCTCTTGCTCATCATAATTAACGCCCACTAATTAATTACCCTCGTACAGTGGGCTGTAGAAGGATTTAGAGCAATACGAACCTTGTTTAGCAGCCAAAGCAATTTTAGTGTCTGATATATTCGTCAACACCTGCAGCAAAACCTCCTCTTACTTGGCGCAGCCGCTCAGCACAGGAATAAAGGATTAGAATTTGAAAGAAACTAGAGAGAGAAGCTTGTTGAATACATAACAGAGAGGTGGATGGAGAGTCATACCTGCTAGCACTCCAAGGGTCTCTCAATCCATTGAAGAAGATAATGTTGCTAGCAGCTGTTCTCAGAACCCTGTGGATGACTTGCTCCGACCAACACAACAACATAATTCATTGATAGAAGTGAAAACAGTTTGAATGAAAAAGGGAAGTAGAGACCTAGCAAGGCTGCTAAATTGAGTGGTGATCCAATGTGGCCTGGGCTCTATGCTGAAGATACCTTCATAGAAAGCAACTTCACTCGTGAATGAATGGTGTCTTTGAGTTGGTTCCCTCGAGCACAAGTATGCTCTGTTTTTGAGCAATAAAACAAAGGTCTCCGAACATCTCTCTAAGCTTACTCACTAAGGCAGGTCTAACTCACAGGGGGGAGAGTGAGCTAGACGAGGAGAGCGAGTTGGATGAGGAAAGATGGAATGGAAGAGAGGGGCGACTGAATTGGCCACGTGCATGGAGCTCGACTTGCAGTCTGCATATGGTGGGGGGGGGGGGAGATCGAGAGAGAGGAAGAGGAGAGAGAGGAGAGAGGGGGTGAAAGAGGATGTGAGGCCCACATTTAATATTTTATTATAAAACATATAAAAAATGTGGACCCACACACTAAAGTTAACGGAAATCAATAAAATTAACATCAAAGGCATGAAATTTGTTAAGTGAAAGAATAAAGTTGATTCATAATTAAATTTATAAATTTTTATATATAGTTTAAAAATAAAAATTATCTTTAATTTTTTGTTTGAAGTAATTGTATCTTTCAATTGGAGATTTACTTTAATGGTTCGTGTGAAGCTTTGCAATTTTGTTGGCTTTGCATTTTTTTTAGGTTATAATTTTGGTTATATGGCGTTAAATAATACATGAAAACAACCTACTGAAATTGAAATCTTATACAGCATACTAAAAATGATAATGATAATAATTAAGATGTTAAAAAAAGAGAATATTAGATTAAAGAAAATATTTCTAAGATGAACATGTATTTGGTTATATTTTTATTCAAGCCAGTTTATACATTTGATTCCAAAAATTAGAAACTATAAATATACCTCGATGGTATAATATTCATAAACAGAGTCGAGAAGTTTTTAAATCAATCTAGCAAAAGCTATTTAAACAGAGTCGAGAAGTTTTTAAATCAATCTAGCAAAAGCTATTTAAATTTTGATAAATGCATATTTTATAATTGAATATGTATATATTTTAGTTTAAATTTAAGTATATTTATTAAGATTTTATATCCATTTAATTAATATTTATATATTTTTTCAATCACTTAATTATAAGACAAAAAATAATTTTGATACAAAATCTATCCATATATCTCTTTGTTTTTATAATTTGTAGAAAAAAAAATTAAAGGAGAGAATGAAAGGAGAAATATAAACACATACATACATACATATTAAAGTTCCATATCAATAAGAAATAAAGGAATGAGTTTTCACTTTAACTATAGATACTTCTTTCATCAAAAGGAAAGGTATTCAATCACTTATCTAAATATATCAAGAACTTTTTTTGAGATATTTGGAGCCCATAGAAGTATTTTGAATGCTGAAAGCGAGATTATTGAAGAGTTTTATAAATCATAATTATTTTTTTTATTTTTTAATTTTCTCTGTGATCGTTGCTCATGATTAGAGATTTTAAAATGGTGTTATTTAATTATATTATGTATTTTCAAATTACTCAATTGCGATAGGGATGTAGCCTAATTAGGAAGTTGGTTTTTTATTTATTTTGTTTTGACTATTTGCTTTTATATTAATGAATATTTTTTTTCAATTTTATTTATTCCTTTTGTTCTTCATATTAATTTTATAATTGGCTACTATTTAATTAAATCTACAAGCAATATTGATGGATTGAGAAGTAAAAAAAGAACCTAAATATAGAGAAATAGACATAAATAATTAGGTTAGGGATAGTTTTAAAAATTTATCGTGACTTAAACTATAATTTCACTATTTAATTAGTTTTTTGGGTGTTATGGGAATGATTTTAATGCTAATTAAAAATAGATTAATAATTTCAAAGAATATTATGATATTTTAGGAATAGTTATCATTATGATTGATTAAAGAATTAATTCAAAAGATAGAGACTAGTAATTTATAGAATGAACTCTAATTCCCAACGCTTTAAATAATTGTATTTTTCTCATTATTATATTCTTACTTTATTTTTATTATTTATATTTTCATCAAATAATTTATTTTACTTATTTTTCTCAAACTACTAATTATTTAAATTAATAAAAACGTAACTTTTTTGTGAGTTCGATACTTGAAATATTATAAATAATTTATTATTATGATCTCATAAACTATAACTATCAATAATTCTTGCATTTAATGCATTATTCAAATTACACTAAACAATTATAAGTAGTTTACTTTCATTATATTTGATACTCCCATGTTTTAAAATATTTTTTGACAGCTCTACATCAAATAATAATAAATAATAAATAATAAATAATCTACAAAATAAATTATTCTCAAAAAATACAAATATAAAACATTTACACGATTGATTTGATGAATTCGTAAATTTCTTGTGCTATGTTTGGGATCAAATTCTAGTTATAATCAGTCACGAACAAAATGTCGCTTTGGCCGAGTGGTTAAGGCGTGTGCCTGCTAAGTACATGGGGTTTCCCCGCGAGAGTTCGAATCTCTCAGGCGACGAGTTTTCATTTTACCTTTTTTCATGTCAGTTTTATCAGGTGACCAATTTGTTTGACTTTTACTTTTCTTTCCAACATGCCAACTATCTAGTCGCTGCGGTGCAAATGCAAATTGGTCATTATATTTTTGTCCAAGAATTATTCTCTTCTCAATCATAATTTCTCTAAAGTAAGAATTTTCAAATTTAATTACCCCCTATTTTTTAATTTAAATTATAATTTTCCACTTGTATAATTCATAATTATCGTTTTTTAAACATCATTAATTTCAGGTGTTGAAGAACCGCGACGCGATTTCATTGGTTACCGACCACGAAATATCTTAGAAACTAGATTATTAATTTACCCTTGAAACAGTTAAGAAACGCATGTTATTTATGCCGCGGGGCGTTTAAAATTGCTACCAGAAAATGAGATCAAGTTGGCCACCCTGTCATTTCATACAAAAGCACTTCCCTTCTAGCAATTTAATTATCTAGTCTCGCAAGTTAATTACATTAGTTGGCCACCTTGTCATTTCATATTAAGTTGCTTTATATTCACTTCTTATAAATATCCCATACACTATGGCATATTTCTCGCTGCACTACTGATCAATTCGTCAATATATGATAATTATTTTCAGCTATCTAGATTTGAAATCAAAGCCCATGTTATAATTACTCCTACAAGATCCAACCACTAAGCTTAACTAACAAATATATAATATCAGAGGAAAATCCCCAACCCCATCAAAAGCAATCCAACCAAGCGTTTGGTTCACCGTGATTCACTGAATTCTCCTCCCAAGTGGACAAACTCGAATGATTAAAGCCCTCAAAGTACACGTGATCAATTGATGATCATGAGCACTAACCTACATGAATTGCCTTCCGAGAATTCGAAGACTAGCATTTAACAATGTAATCTGTATTATTAGAAGCTAAATGACAATTTGGGCGGCGGATGAAGAGGGAAAATTTTACGCCCAACAATAATGTGGAACATTCCAACATTGCTTTGTACAACTTAGTTGAGCTATTAATTATAATATATCACAGAATTTGACCCAAAAAATAATGTATAACTATTTGTATTCACAAGTATATATGACAGTTTATTGTAGCTACATGGTTTCCGAGATACAAATTAAAGCTACCTGGATCAAATGCTCTATGATTATACACAAATACGATCACCGCGAGTATACCCAGGTATGATATATGACCTTTATTTCAGACCTAGTTACCGAGACTACAGTAATCTTTGAATCTGACCTGTGCCTGACGTACGGCATATTGGCAAAAACACAAACATTACAAGGTTTGAGAAGAGATCTGTCCATGCCAATAGGATACTAATCACGGGTCTGGCAGTTTTGAAGAAGGTTCAGCTTGAAAAATCAAGAAAGGGAAAGGATGAAACATCTTTCATCAAGTCCTCTAAGTCCCACTCTCCCAAGGTTAACTCTTCCTGAAATAGATCCTCCACCCCACCTCTATTATTGTTGCAGTTATTAACGATGCTGTTTATGTTATCGAAGTAACTATTAACGTTAGTGTCTCTATTCTCCAGTTTCTGCAGGTTATCAGTTATAGGGTTATTAACACTCTCCAGAGGAGGCACAAACAGCTCCCCTTCTGCTCCAATATTTACACTCCCAATCCCGAAGACTCCATTTTCTACGTAGAAACCATTATTGATGTTAGGGTCAGCTCCGTTTTGTGGGAAGCAAGGCCCTCCATTGCTGTTGAAGAATCCGTCAGAAGCTACTTGCGCGTTTAGTCCATTCTCAATCATAGGCAATCTCTCAATTATGTTATTGTTGAACATAGGCATGAAACCTCCCATGACATTGTTGAGGTCTTTGATATTAGGCTCAGATAATATGGAAGAGGACTCGCTTGCATTTTGTGAGCCGGTGGTGGTGGATGACATGAGCTTGAGCCTTTTCTTTATTGTGGAGTTCCAGAAATTCTTGATTTCGTTGTCGGTTCGCCCGGGCAAGCGCGCCGCTATTTGGGACCATCTTTCAAGGGGGAAAACATTTATGAAACAAGTCAGCTTCATTAATAGTAAAAACTTAATTAAGGTAGGTGGTGATGTCGAAAATAACAAGTCAGCTTCATTAATAATAAAAATTTAATAAGGAATGCTTTGCATGGACGCTAATAAAAAATCTTAATCATGCAAATATGTGGAGTATGTTCAACTCGATCGAAGTGGAGACACAGGCAAATGAAATGCTTAGGCTATAGTTTTCAGTCCTTGGTCTCGCTACAAGGAGCCGCTTTATACCTTATGTTTCAATACATGTGGAATCAAAAGATATCTATCATTTTCAATTGTTCTGTTGCTTATTAGTTAGTGAGTGGCATATATATTTAACTACATGGGCATATTGTTAGGTGAGCACAAGCAAAGCGTGTATGTTGTGACTGGTTTACATATATATTCTCTGTGTATGTATTTAAAACATAAAGCTCGCTTCTTTTTCCGGTAGAAACTTTTATAAAAAGCTACCCATTCAAAATATAGTGAAAAAGCCACATTTTCCTCTTTTGCGAAGATTAACATTTATCATCTTGACATCACAGACCTTTCAGATATAGATGACCATCACCCATATTACGTACTCAATTAATAACGATATTTTAATCGCTTCAGAATTCTTCTTCATGTATGGATAAAAATTAAGCAGACATACAACACCAAGAAAAAATTCAGATAATTTTTAGTCTCTATCATTGATTTTTCTTTTCTTATAATAACCATATATCGCATATCTATGATTGGATCTGACGAGAATGTTCTTGACATAAATCATATATGTTTGTGAAATTAAAAAGCCGGAGATGGACCTGTTGCCAAGAAGGGAATGCAGATGGATGATAAGCTGTTCCTCCTGGGGAGAGAAAGCACCACGTTTGAGATCAGGCCTCAAGTAATTGATCCAGCGAAGGCGACAACTTTTGCCACATCTTTGCAAGCCAGCGTTCCTGGCGACATCACTCCAACAACCTTGTCCATTGTTTAGCATGTAGTTCATGAGCTTGTCATCTTCTTCCGGTGACCACAGCCCCTTCCTAAGCTTGTTATTGTTGTTGTTTTTTCCAGACTCGGGCTTCCTCATGCTGTACTACGCAACACAAACAACACTTTCCCGTTATAATCCAACTAGTGTGATGTATGTAAATAAGAGAAAGATTTATAGAGAGAGGAAAACGATGAGATTAGAAAGAAGCTTCATGGGGTGGGAATGATGATGATGGTGATGGTTGTGGGCTTTGCTTACAAAATAGGGAAGAGTGAGAGAGAAAGGGTTGGTTGATGAGTCCAGTAGAAAACGGTTTGGAGAGGGATTGGTGGTCGTCTTGTCTTTGACTCCATGGCCTTGTTTTTTCCCGATCTCTCTTTTTTTTCTTCACTCACAAGGTAATCATCACTCATGACTCATAGGCTTGCCAGAAACAAAACAAAACAATAAAAAAAGAAAAATCCTACATTCATATTTATTTTTCATATGCGAGCTTGTTGCCTTGTTTTATAACCAAGCCAAGCTATTTGCTTCCATTTCACATAATCTCCCCCTTCTCTCCTATCCCACACGTGTAGTTCAAGACATGAAGGATACTTGTAAAGCTATGGCGGCACTCATCAACAATTTAGATCACCGTGCCCTTTTCTTTTCCAAATTTATCATTGGCCACAAGATCCGCATGCTTAACCTTCACCTTAATTAAAAAAGATTAAGCAAAACAGACTTCATTAACTCTCATATTTCAACCCTGAAAAATGACAAAAGAAAACCTTTGGAGCTTTCTGTGTCTTCGCAATTATACTTCTCGATGTATGGAGGGAAAACAATTGTGGCCGTACGAATTAATACAATAGATCATCATGTGCTCATCTGAATATTAGAGATTCTGAATCCCGGCCATAGGCTGTAGAGTTCATGATAACCTGATTTTGAAAGCAATCCCGACCGTTGGAAGACCTGAGAGTGACCAGCACGATTACATGAACTGTTGCTTTTACCGTTAGTATTGTTGGTTTAATGAAACAAGTGGGTTAACTAACCCTATAAGGCCAGATACGTATGAAGTTGAAATGGCTTAGCTTATAAAAGAGTTGAATAAATTGTGATTGAAGGAATTGATTGGACTCTAGCCTTCTCTGTTTTGTCATGCTTGTTCTTTTCCAAACAAAGGTGAATCATGCGAGAAAAAGAAGAAAGAAATGGTGCACCTGATCATTGATTTCTCAAACATCATTATAGAGCCAATTACGACAGTCGCTTAAGTTTGTGTACAGTTTTCTGACATAAGCAGCTGAACAAATATAATCTGCAAAACATGGATTGAATTGGAGATACCAAAGTATCTCTTTCTCTCTTCCTCTTCGCTTTTTTTTTTTTTTTTTTCCAACATAATAATTTTGGCGGCTATAATTCATGTTGCTGACGCATAATTTTTGCCACATGATCAGCACAGCCTTGTTTCTAGAATTAATGTGGCTAGCTACTTGTCCTGATTTGCAAATCAGCTTCAGCCTCGAGGCCTGGGGCAGTCAGCTACAGGAGGCTCAGTGGTAGTTAAGGTGGTGAATGAAAGAGCCAGAACACTTTCCAAAAGCACATTGGATCATTGGAATAACTATAAGATGACACTCCACTGCTGCAGGATTGGTAAAAGCACTAGTTTGGAATATAATGATGGTTGCCCTGAAACATAAAAAAATAATCTTTGTTACAGGCGCGAAATATGCTCCTTTTCTTAGTTATTCTGGGGATATTTATGGCTTCACTGAAGCCCAATCGAATCTACAGGCTCCGAAAGGTTAAATGACTCGTCAAAAAGTTGCAACACAGTAAGGAAAAGTAAAAAGAAAGAGAGAGTCAGAGAATAATGTAAATGAAGAGGAGAAGGTGGATGATTCATTCAGGCATCAAATCATGTAGTTATGGAACTATGAATGTGGCAATGCAGGATTTGCTTGAGGATATCAACTTGTCAATTGACCATTTGCTTAGGTGTAGGTAGAACAGGGAAAGTTAAGAGAGTTTAAGTTAAAGGAATTAAGAAGGAAGTAGAAATACTACCGTTCGGCCACCTCAGAGTTCCAATTCATGTCGTTAGCCGGTGCATCATATTGCCTTGACTTCAAATTATATAATGATTAATCAGAGTCTTGGCAGATATTATGGGTTCTGCAAATAAAGTGAAAGCAAATTCATGTCCACAAATAATAAATAAAAGCATCCCAAGTAGCTTGCACAAATTCAGTCTCAGAATTAAACCTTTTTGAAGTTTGCTTCCAAATGCATCCTCGATTAAAAACAAACCAGAGATATTTGCCGCGCACTCAAATATATATAGCCAAGCGCATAGTGTAATTATCTAAATAAAAACATAGACGTCCATTTTTCAGAATAAGAAATATACTTGATATATATGTGATTATAGCATTTTTTTTTCTGGGTGATGTGATTATAAAATTAGGAAAACATAGGTTTTAATACCTAGAGTTATGTACTTTAACTTGAGTCAATATCCTTGTTTTTTTTTTTTTAAATTAAGGAATCAATCTCAAAACTGTAGTCAACTTTAATCAAAGTCTCTAAAAATGATATGTCGTTGATGTAGTGATGATGTATCTTGATGTAACCATGATATTTGGTAACGGTAAAAACTTTGATCTAAGTTGATTATCACTTCAATGATTGATTCTTCAACGAAAAATTATAGGGATGTTTTGATTCAAGTTGGTCAAAATTTCAGGGATTAAAAACCAGGTTTTTTGTATAAAATATCTGAATATGTTTTCGAATGCATTTATAAAAGATATAAGTCATCAGAATTTAGAGTATTGAGGTCTGAGGAGCTTCAAGGCTGGAGACATTTGGCATACTTTCTCTGTTCTGTTCTCTTGCCAAAGCTTAGCTCCGGCGGAGTTGATTACCTCAGAAATAAGCAAGCATGACTTTAGTTAGATGAGATGGGCCCTACCGACCAGAACCTTTTCATTCCAAACCTAGTAAACCAAAAGAAAGTGCAACCACCAGAGTAACGGCCTATCTTTCATATTGAATAGCCGGAGGCACATGAGGCATACTTTCATTGCATACATCATTCAGATAGAAACTGAAACTTGTACAAAAATGGCATAAAACAAATCAGATGATGTTGGCAGTGAATAAGGAATCTGTGCTGGTCTCGTGGATTAATTTGGGCAAAGTCAGGCTTTCCTTGCCGTACGAAAGCAATGGGGAAGTCTCGAATAGTAGCTGTGAAGGAAAAGGAAGTGATAGAGAGTAACTAACTTGGCGGTAGAATTTGAAGATACAACCTCATTTTTCCCATTCAGGATGTAACGACAGTTGAATTCTGTTCTAATACTAGTTTCTTTCTTTTGTCTGAACAATCCTCTCTCGTCATTTAAGAACGTGTTTCTTGTAGAAACTTCAAAGCACCATTAAATTCTGCTCTGCTTCCATTTTTCAATAAAAATTTGGGGCCAAGGTGATGTTATATGAGCAGCATTGACATGCAAAAGGAAATAAGGTGAGAAAAGGAAAAAAATATTGTTACATGAAACCGTCTTTTTCATACCCCATAAATAAAAATTAGGGTAAATTATGCAACATTTTACTAAACTTTAAATCATAAAAACATAATCTTCTTAACCTTTAAAACTTGATAATAAACCTCTTTGAGTCTTTAGATTTATGCAAATAACCTTTAACTATTAATTATTTACGTGCTTAAATTTTATTTTTGTGTGCATTTAAGTCCTCAAACTTTAATTGATACACAGATAACCCTCTAAATTTTAAATTATGTACAGATAGTTAATATATAAAATTAATTATATAAAATTATTTGTATAAATATAAGAGCTAAGAAGGGTTCATTATAAAGTTTTAAAGGTTAAAAAAATTATATGTACGTGGTTCAAAAATTAAGGGAGTAATGTATAATTTAACCTAAAAAATAATAATGAAAAACAACTGATAAATAATATATATATATATATATATATGTATATATAATTTTTGACCATGACAATGGAATGCTTGTACCAAACAGCAAACACCCCCCGGGGCCTTACTTGCCATGAGAAAAATTAGGCCTTAAAATAAGCTCACTTAGTCATTGCCTCATTGGCTAGTTAGGACAAGGGCCAAAAATATAAAAAAAAAACCTTTAGAAATACCACTACATCCATGTTACAGACTCTTTGATTGTCATAAATCTCATCTATAGAGGAGTTGCTCATAACCATCTTTTTTATGATGAGATTTTGGTAACACAAGACTTCTTGTGGACTTATCAAGATATCAGACTTTTCTATAAGTCTCGTGAGATAAATTCCTATATAGATTATTTGGCTAAGATGGCACACTCATGCCAAAAAAATCTCAAGCTACTTTATACAATTCTTGAAAAGTATGAACCTCTTCTTTTGTATGACAATAGTGGGTATAGACCCTACTTGAACTGATTTTTTATTTTTTATTTTTTGCTTTTTTCTTCCTAGCTTACAACTAGCCCTTTTACTATCAATCCAAAAAAAAAAATCTTATTTTATTCCTCTTTTATTCATATAGTATTACTTTTATTTCAATAAATATAAAATTTCAAAGATAAACTTGTAAACGAGTGGTGGGATGAACATACGAGCTCAGTTACATCGGATTCAATGTTTGTTTGCTCAACTGCATTTGACGGCTATAGCCTATAGATTTGGTTGATAATCATAATACGTCTCTCCTTTTTTTATTCTTTCTTTTGAATTGAGAGACAGACACTAACATCCTAAGGCATGATACCTCAATTCTCCATAACTATAACAAACGCTGTGTTTGAGAAATGAGTGAGAGTGTTTGAGAGAAAGGGTGTGGACTCGATTTCGACGGTAACAAGTATATCTCCGGACAATGATGAGGGAGATGATCTGTTCAAGGAAGATGAAGATATGGCTGCAAGGAATATAAAAAAGATGAGTACGGATACAGAGATGAAAGATAAAGATGAGAAAGAAGAAAATGGGCCTGATGAGAAAATGAAAGATGCTGAAACTGATCACCCATTGACGAATCAACCATACTCTAGTTGGGGGCTAAAGGTGGGTTTAAGACGCCCATTTCCTACAAAGAAAAACTGGTGGGTAAAGAAGAATAGAAATATGAACAGTACTTTGAGGCTCAAATGAAGGGATGGTTGAAACAGGAAGAAGATATAACCCCGGTACTTACGGAGGAACAAAAGA